TCTGTTCAAAGCTAAACTAAAACAAGAGAGAACGCTATAGTCGGGTGCCCCGACTATCAGATACCCGTTACTCATCTAAAGGGAGTGCGAAGGAGATGGGGATAAAAATGTTGATCCGCCGTAACTTTTTAACGAATGATCCGATTAAAAAAATGTCTTCTACATTTCGATAGGTATTGATAAACACAATAAAACTGCATTTTACCTTTTCCGAAATATTGAAATTTTTAAAATCGTATATAAGCGATTGTGGGCGTTAGAGGGGGCGTGGCACCCTTGCGCTGCGTAGGAACTCCCAGAATCTCCATGCAAAATGTCAATCCTCTAGCTTTTATAGTTTCCGAGATCTCAGCGTTCATACGGACAGACAGACAGACGGACATGGCTAGATCGACTCGGCTAGTGATCTTGATCAAGAATATATGTATATACTTTATAGGGTCGGAAATCCTTCCTACTCCCTGTTACATACTTTTTCACGAATATAATATACCCTTTTATTCTACGAGTAACGGGTATAATTAACTGTTGCCTGAAAATGACTCATATATTTGTCAATAAGGAACGTACCTAGTTAACTAAGGACAAATCAAATAAAAGGAATAAATAAAAAATTTAAAATTTATAAGCAAAATAAATATGAACATTATTAGTTACAACATTTTTTAATTAATAATGCAATCTTTTGTTGCCAGAGTAAATCATAATTTAAATTTTAGATAATAAGTAATGCAATAACTTTATTAAAAGCAACGAAATAAGAAAACTACAAGTGAATTTTATTATATTTTGTTACTTGAGGTTTTTACCTGATTTAATATTTGTTTTGAGTATTCCTGACAAGCTTTAAAGTAAACTACTCCATGACAAATCGATAAAATAAGAGATAAGATGCTTTTCTACACACTGCCAGAGGCAGTACAAAATATTTGTCATGTTTCTCTGAGCCTCTCAAATTGTGCTCTGCAAATTCCTTTCAGCTTGTTATATAAATGCCGGTCAAATCTTCTCATTCACCTCCACCTACTTTACCCACTTAACTTTCAATTATTACCACATAGACACATTCGCCACACAGTCCAGTTCAATCATCGAGGTGCTAAACACTATTTCACCATAACCTAACAGTATCAACAAAACTACGGCAAATAAAAGTGACCCATTTATGCTGGAGAAAGAAAAAACACATTTTTGCGTTCATAAATGGGCTCCGTGAAATATACGACAACCGGATCGGTTAAGAAGCGTCAATAAATTAGCAAATATGTGACTTGGGTATTGCGAGAGGCGAATGAAAGCTGAGCGTAAACGCGAAGGCGATTGCAAACGCGACTCAGACCACTGGTAAACACCGGGCCTGGGCCCCAGCCTCATTGAGGGCGTTGTATCGGGCCCAAAGACCATGCCCAAGTTTAGACCACCGAGAAAAATTTATAGCATATAAAAGAAATATTATTTTTCTGACACTATATTACAGCGATTGGGAGGCCTTTAAGATTTCAACCCCCTTAAGTTGGAATTCCCTTTTAAGTTTAATATTTATCAACAAAAATATTAATTAATTCAATGTCCACGATTTTCTAGGTTGTCTCAAAACCATTTCTGTAATGATTTCGATCTAGAATTAATGTGTTCTTTTACTAGAACCAATTCTTTTATTTTAGCGGACTTTAAAGTTCCTTGAGAAACCGAAAATTATTCGTTCATAGGCAGTTTAAAGTTATGTAACCCAAGGGATTTTTTCGCCGTGCAGACCTTAGCCAATGATGCCGATTGTTTACTCGAGGGCGCCCCTTTTCGCCCAATGGCCAAGTCCAAGTACAAGTTTCTCTCTCCGCGACGTCAACGTTGACGGATGACGACGTCGCTGGAGCGGCGCTGCCGAAAAAAAGGCAGCCCGAAATGAACATGTTCACTTAACAAACAAGTTGACTTTATTTCCCCGCCGTTCTCCAGATTTATGTGGCTGCGGCTGCGTCTGTGACTCTTTTACGGGGCCGGTCTCCAATTCGGAGTGCGCTCTTTTCGCGTCTTGGCCGTAGCTTCCGCCGCCTCTCAGTGGGTTTTATTTAATTTACTTTTAAATTGTTTTGTAATGCGCACCGACAGCGACGCCGGCTGAGCGGCTGCAGACGTCGCCACGGCCCGATATATAAGGCTAGATGTCCGGAGACGCATACATCAAACTCATCTCAGCGCTCCCGAAGAGAAGCAGCAGCCCGATCTTCAGAATCAGCCGGATCAGCTATAACAGCCAGGATTAACCGCGACTTAGCCAGTTCAAATCAAAATGAAAGTGTTTGCCATCGCTTGTGTGACCCTCTTGGCGGCCAGCTGCGCCTTTGCCGCGCCCAGTGTCCAAGATAACCGCGTTGAGGGCGATAATACCCTGGGCAGGGCCGCCAGATATCTGGGCGCCTGCCTGGAGAGCGACGACATGGCCACCTGCCTGGCCGTCAAGGGCATCACCGCCCTGAACCGCGCCGCCAGGAGCAACAACATCGAGCTCGCCAGCGGAGTCACCTTCCAGAGGTGTGTGTTTGCTTGTAGTGAAAGTGCCTGATTCTTGAAACAAAAACGAAATCGAAACCGAAACTCAACGCAGAACGTGCCTGATGAAATCTTCCATCCGTGCTAGTTTAAGTGGTTGCATCACAGACCTTGTCGAAAGTCATATAAGAAAGCTAGTTCAGAAGAAACTATGATATCAAGTTCAAAAGGAAAGCTGTTTAAACGGCTGACATAAAGTAATCTAGAAAAACTGAAGCAGATCGGAGAGAACATTTAAAATGAATTCAGAACATTATGTAATATGTCAGGGCCTTAAGTGCAAATCAACTAGGCAGATAATAAACTATTCATAAAGTTTACAATTTAGGGAAGAAGTCAAGAAAAATTATGCAGTAACAGCTAAATATAGATTTGAATTGCTGAGAAAAGGTTAAGGCATTAAAATAGATCTGATAATTAATGCTAAAATAATGCCTATCTCAACGTAACATGTTTAATATCACTCCGAAAAGTTATAGACATTAGATAAATTAGCAAGTAGTAAGAAATAGGCAACACGTTAGATTTAATTTAGATTTGTAATGCTAAATATATATTTATATTATTATTTATATTTATATTTATATTTACCTTACTATTATTTTCAGAGATCCCGCCAGCCCCGTTTCCCGCACCGGAAAGTCCCTGAGCGAGCAGGATGTGTACGCCGAGCTGCCCCAGAATGCCGATGAGCGTACTGGTCGTCTGGTGGATCTGGCCATCTCCAGTGCCTCCGATTTCCTGAGCAGCCACAACCTGGAGTTCAAACTGCCCGCCGAGACCACCCAGCAGGTGGCTCGTGCCCTCGATGAAGGTGCGTTTTAGCCGGGAAACCTCTCCATGAGCCGTAATAATCGCATAACATCCAATTCTAGGCCGCGGCAAGATCAAGAAGATGCTGGGACCCCTGGCTCTGGCCATTGGAGCCAAGCTGTTCGCAGTCATTCCCCTGGTGCTCGGCTTCCTCGCCCTGCTGACCTTCAAGGCCGTGATCGTAGCCAAGCTGGCCTTCTTCCTGGCCATCCTGGTCGGAGGCTCCCGCCTGCTGGGCGGATTCGGCAACAAGTTCGGAGGAAACACGATCGGCGGAGGCTACAGCTCGAACGCCTGGTCCGCACCCGCCAGTGCCGGCTGGAGCTCGGGAGCGTCCTCCTCCTATCCCTATGCCCGCAGCATCGGCGACGAGTCCGATGCCCAGCAGTTGGCCTACGCCGGCCAGCAGCAGCAGTAGAAATGGCCAGGAGACAGGACGCGCTCCGAACGCCACCGATGTGCCTTCGTTTTGAAACCTTTAGCCTGTAGTAATTTATTCGAAATGTAATTAACTAATTTATTTCCACACAACGCACACCGCAAGAGCAACAGCAACAGCATAGTCAAGTCGAAATGTTCAATAAAACCAAGAGTATTGCACCCGAAAAAATTAAATCCGTAAATCCACGCACGTGTTTACCTGTGGGCAGAGACTTTCCCAGGGCTTAATTGAAATGCTGACAGACCCCAAAACAAATATCTGGAACTTTGCTCGCTGGGCGGCAACAAGTTTGCGGCTGGCAATTAAAACTTGTGGCAGGTTCTGTTGCTGCACGGAAAAATACGACAGAAAAAAGAACTGATAAGCTGGGGATTTAGTTTTTGGCAAGTTTGTGGCCCTGCTCATAATTGGAGTTTCTAGTGGCCATGTGACGGCCGCTCGGCATGTTAATTGTTTGCCAGAAACTTTCTACTTATGCTCATAAAAGTGTCACTTTGCGATTGAAAAGAGATATATGCGGCGATGTGCTACAATTTAGCTTTCTTTCGGAGGCAGATTTAGAAGCAATTGAAATAGAAAACGAGCCGCAAACGCCACTTGACAAGGGGAGAATGAAATCGAAAGCGTTGAAAGCGCCAGGCCAGAGCAACTAACTGGGCCAAATGGTGCATTAAGTCACCACCGGCGGGGCATACCAAATAGGGATGGGTCTCGTCTCGCAGATCCCCCACCTCACATATAATCTCCGGGCCCTAATGGCCCAATGGGAGGAACAGGCGGCCAAGAATCTGGCACAGGCAATCCGAACACGTCGCCCCGTCGTCTCCATTGAATGCCAATTAGGACTCGGATAACGGCGGAGCACCCTAAATCGGGCCACTTGCTTATATAAAATATATGTATATACAAAAATCATATTCAGGCGGCCGACTGCCGACTGCCGACTATCACTGGCCACTTCCCTTTCGTTGACATCGCGACGTGCGTGGAAATATGGTCAAGAAATTGCCGGCCAGGTAGCATACGCATATGCTTTGCATAAATTGTTTTTGGTTTTTGGATTTGGTATTGGTTTTCGGTATTGTTATTGTTATTGCAGCGCGGTGCGGTGCGTTTTGGCCTGCCGCGCGATTTCTAGCCACAAAATTGGACAATCGTCGTTGAATCGAAATGGTATAAAACGCGGGGGCAGTGCATTCAATTAATCACAAAGCGATTCCCGTTCACAAAGGCAGCACTCATCCGCTCCAGGCAGCCGTCCCAAGGATTATAACCCTCAAAAGCTCAAAAGTCGAGATCCCCAGTGCTAACCAAAATGTCCGCGAAATTCGTATGTGTTGTGCTGCTGGCCAGCCTTGTGTGCGGCTCCATGGCCCTTCCCTCGCAGGACAACGGCGAGCGGGACCTGGTCAACATGCTGAACCGCTTGGACGGCGAGGAGTCCGTCGCGCTCTTCGGCGGCCTGCGGATCGACCGAGCGGAGACGGGTCGCAGCTTCGGGGCCGCCAAGGCCGTCGAGTCCTTCGAGGACCGCGCCGAGCGCTACCTGGAGACCCACGAGCTGAACCTCTCCTTCTCCGGCGATGAGCAGGAGGAGAATGCCGAGAACGAGTACACCGGACGCGCCATGGAAGGTGAGTGATGGTGGCTTTCCTCAAGGAGTCTAGAAGTGTGGGCCTCTCTCAAAGCCAGTTTTTTAATTCGAGTTTTACTAAATTTCAAACAGTACTTATTATTTTTTCATTTTAAATTCCAAATTGAGAACGGAAAACCAAATCTAAAGTAAACTCAAGAAAAGTCAAGATGAAGTGCTCATAAATTAATATTGGAGCAGCGGCCACATTACGGATGAGTGATTAATTTTGAAAAACCGTACTGGCACTCAAAGAAATTCTATTTTCTCGCCCTATAAACTTAAAGTTCAATTTCAAAAGGCTAAAAGTACTAAGGTCCACTCGACTGTGCACAAAGCCAACTGCCAAAAGCAAAACTACTGGCATACTTAGTTGCTCTGCCGAGAAGCGAAGTGAAAGCTTTCACTCGACTGCCAAGCGTTGAATACTTTTAGGAGCACTGCTGAATTCCCCACTTTCTCCCTTTGCTTTCTCCCACAAAAAACAGAGTCCCGCAGCAAGCGCATGAAGAAGATGCTGCTGCCCCTTCTCTTGGCCCTGAAGCTGAAGAAGGCCGTCGTTGTCAAGATTATGTTCACCATCATCAAGTTCATCTCGCTGAAGGCTCTGGCCATCTCCTTCCTGGCCCTCATTCTGGCTGGTGAGTTTTTCCAAAAAGGTCTTTTGAAAGGCAGCCCTAACACTGGTTCTGTCCGCAGGTGCCACCTTCTTCAAGGATCTGCTGGCCAAGAAGAAGGAACACATCACCACCGCCTACATCACCGGCAGCCCCCTGAACGCCGACATCGTGCACTCCGACTGGAGCCGCAATGGTCAGGCTGGAGCCGCCGATCTGGCCTACAACCACTATGGCCTGGCCCAGCCCTTCTAAGCCAGAAACCACCGACCGACCCATCCATACCACGCTACAACTAGCCTGAATCTTTCACCTGCTATATCTTACCCTACCAAAGCTTCACCTTTCTTCAATTCCCCTTCACTGCACCCTCATTTCTTCAACCTATCCCTCTTAGACTTCCCTGAAGAATGGCCTAATTCGTAGTCAATAATTATTTAGTTACATTTAGTTAGTTAGCTGCGTCATACCAAAAAAGAAAATCACAAAAAAAGAGAACAACTGAAACAGTCCCTCGACTTTTGGCTAGCTCAAGGACAATGCTTACGGATACTAAAGTCGATCATGATTGCGCCATATTTATTGCACATTCCCACAATCCACATGTCTCTTGGCGGTTGTAAATGTCACTCAGGTTCATCGAAAACAACGAATGTTATGCCTGCCTAAGAGCTTACTTAATAAGTATTTATTCAGATAACTTAAAGCAATTGAATAAAAATGATTCATCAAATGCAAAACCAAACATTGTTTAAACTTGCTAGTGGCTTTAAATATCAATATTCAGGCGCTGCTGTCAACATATTTTCTGACTTTTTCCAGCCCCACATTGTGAAAAATATTTGACGAAGGACAGTGATTACTGGCCGGCTAACAAATTGATTTATGTTGACACAGATAAAAACACTAGAAAAAGTGTAAGGCCTAAAACACATAAATAAACTGAAATTGAAAAAGTCTATTACTATTTTCTATTTAAACACTTTCATTGGATCTCTAGCAAAAACCAATTCGGTAAACTAATATTTCTGCTTAATTATATTAGCAAACTTAATTGGCTGGGTTTGGGCTTACGGGCTTTTTTAGCGTGAGCTTCCTAATTGATTTTAAATGAAATGTCCCATTTGTCGTTGGTATAAAACTGCCAATCGAGGTGGCCGAAAGTCAACAGATCCAAGATGAACGGCTTGAGCAACAAACTCTTCGGGTGTCAGATTAAATTCGCCCTCATTGTTGGCCTTTTGGTATCCTTGGCCTGGGCACTTCCTGTCGAAGATGAAAAGACGTCCCTAGCAGCCAAGGAAGACGCCGTGAACAACGAGTCGCCCATTGAAGCTGCGCCGGTGGTGGAGGAAGCCGAAAACCTTGGACAGCTGCGATTCCCACCGTTCAATAACAATGGAACCGGATTTTTTGAAAGGTTCGGTGAAAAGTTCAGAAATAAGAGGACTACAACTACCACTACAACCACCACCACAACAACTAAAGCTCCGGCTGGAAAATAAGAAGGACCAACTGCTCAAACAATTAATACTTAATAGTTTGTCGCCTACTTCATAAAAATTTTATTTAATGTGCACTTTAACAATTTATGATGTTCAAATTAATTTATGTTATTTTTAAATAAAAGCATTTAATACTATCATAATAAGAAGCCGTTTTAAAAAATTGTATATTTCCAAGAATTCAATTCAGCTAAGCTTTCAGGCAAATAGATAGATAGATAAATTTCACAGGGACCGTAGATAATCATTATTTGAGATTTTTATTTTAAAAAGACTACTGTGATATTTTGTTTTAAACGTCAAAAATAACGTTCTTTTTACTCTTGTCCACAAAGTATATGCCTTTTAAAAAATCTGGAAAGCAAATTAACTGTTATTTGTTCATGTCTATAAAGTGCATAAAAACCAGTTAAATTGTTGAATAAAACTTGTAAAAACCTCAGTAGGCCTTTTAAAATAAAAATCTCAAATAATGATTATTTACGGTCCCTGAAATTTCAAGCCCCAAACTGGAAATATTCCATACAAATTTTCCGACTAACAAATACAATTACTTGATATAAGAGATATTTAAAAATCTATTAGTTTTAAAATAGAAGTAAATAAAAACAAGAAAGGAAGCTACCTTCGGCCAACCGAAGCTTATATACCCTTGCAGATAAAGTAATGCTCACTCGGTGCAGTTCCAGGGATTCCAGATTCAGCGTTTCTATTTAATTCAGTTTCTATTTGATATCAGAAGTTTTTGTTTGTTTATATTTGCTCTCATAGGAGCTAGTATATACATTGAAAATTTAAATTGGTCAATCATAATTTGTAAGCCATTGTATTTAAACAAATTAAGTTAAAAAGGCGTTTAAGTATTTCAAAATACCTTTTAAACGAGGTATAGCATATGTCTTTAGCTTCAGTAGTGTAGAACTTACAAACTAACGAAATTTAGCTATTTCTAGCTTTTTTTCCGCTAAAGCAGCGGGTTTTTCCAAAAGTCGTAAAACAAAAGTTTCCTATTTGGAACTCCTTAAAACAATTGAAATGATTCTATGAGCCTAAAATACAGTTTGGATACCCACGCACAAAATTAAACACTCAGGAAGCGTTAGTTGTTCTGAGCTGGCAAAAGTGGCTATTTTCGTTTCTGAATAACTTTTAAACGCGATTTTTTACATAAACATGATATATACCAAAATTTAAGGAATCTCAAGGGCTATACAGTTTAAAGTTGTAAGGAAAATCATTAGAGCCGTTTTTGAGAAAATTAAAAAAAGCTAAAAAAAAAGTTTAAACAAATTTTCTTTTGTTCATATCTTTTTAACTATTACATTTACACAAATTGCATATAGAAGGCGTTCATAGCATTTTCCCGCTAAGCTAGCGGGTTTTTCCAAAAGTGGTAGAAGAAAAGTTTTTTATATCGATGTGATGAACGTCATATCAAATTTTCAGAACTTAAAAAACATGTTTTGGACAAACTGACAAACTGACAAACAGAATTTAATTTTCATTTTGGGAAGACGTAGAAAATCTTATTTTGGCTATAACTTTTGAACGGAGCGTCGGATTTTATCATATAACCCCTCATTCGACGGGTATTTTCAATAGGAATACAACTTGCGAGGGGGCATTTATCCCCACCGGCCCCAACAGCTCCAAATTTCGAAACTTGCACTTTTTCACTTTCACCGCTCTCTATCCCAAGCCAATTGATTTTCTTAAAGTCTTGGTATGCAATCCTTTAAGTTTTTGCAATACCTTACGATTGGTGTATTACTCATTACGATCGGACTATCACAGCAGATTTTCAATTTTGTGGCTATATAATAGTAGACGCCTTCGCACACTCTCCTGGTGCGCTTTGTCACTACATGGACTGCCGTCCATAGTGATTTGGTTTTTAAGTAGTCAAGAATTAAAACGCCTACTTCCTACAAAGTTACAATGAATTTTCTTATATTTGTTTGAATGTTCCTATGGGAGCCCTAAGATCCGATCCGGCTCGCTCCGACATATGTACTACCTGCAATAGAAAGAAGACTTTAGGGAAAGTTTCATCGCGATAGTTAACATAGAAACGGTCAGACGGACATGGCTAGATAGACTCGGCTAGAAGATTCGCATTTTGCATTCTACTAAGTAAATTGTCATTTCACAACAACAAAATACACACAATTAGCAAAGACACAAACCCAAAGCAAAAACAAAATACACGTAACTATTTTAATAGTTACGTAACTATCTTTGTTGGTCAATTTTACCAAGCAAATTTTTTTGTGTGTAATAGTCGAGGCACTCGACTATAGCGTTCTCTCTTGTTTTATATTAATTTTGTTCACAATCTATACATCCAGGGCTATTACTTTACAACTGACACATAAACCATCTGGCTGGAAATTGGCGAAAATCAAAGGGCGACCAACAAATTGGTCATTAGCACTGCATGTAATCTGAATATTAAACAGCCAAGACTGGGCGTGGAAAGATATATTACCTCATGGGCAATACGAGCAAAGAAAGTAGCTAAACGAGGCTACGGCAGACACAAATGAAAATGTAGTAATAATTAACAATGAATTGTTAGTTAGTCCCAGTTAGGCAGTCAAAATGTTGGGTCTTAATTTATGGAGGTCCGAGGCACGCGACTTTTATCTGGCACTTGTAATTACCTGGACTGGGAGTCCCGAGTCTGGGAGAGTTTTCTTCTTGGCCTCTTGGGGAATTCATTGGCTGGAACTTTTTGGTGACAGAATTAGCCGGCCGTTTTGCAAGAGTGATCTGGCCACTGCCGCTGAGGAAAGCGAAAGTGCCGCCCAGTTGGACGCAGCTGACTGGCGCTGGGAAGAATTTCGACCACAAATCGTTTGGGTAATTAGAAAAGCACAAGGGCCCTGGTGCGGACTATGGTTTTGGTGAAAGGGAAATGGGAATGGAAGTAGTAGCAGCGCGTATAAAAGCTAAAGCCATAAAATTGAGATGATGCAGTCTCTCAAACAACCCCAAAAGCAGTAGATAGCTAAGATGTTGCTGACCAAGACCCTGGAATATCTTTTTTATTTGGCCCTATTCGCCTTCATGTGCAAATACGCCACGGCAGCGAGCGTCCAGTCCACGGAAGCACCTGAAACTGTCGCGGAAACCCTTCGGAAACCCCAAAAAGCTGAGAGCCTTCTCAATGGCTGCGAAACATCTTCGTTCAGTTGGATGTGCCTTAAGATCGAGTTTGTCAAGATCATGGAAAAACTCGCCGAGCAGGAGGAGCTAAACGTTTTGCCTGGCGTCAGTGTGGTTAAAGATGAAAATGCCACGGAACTCAAGACATCAGAGCTAATGGCAGGTAGGTACAAAAATATATGTAAATCGCATTTTTGACAAAGATTTAAAAAAAAAGACATTTCTTCAGACTTTTTATTCTTTAAGTCTTTATTATATTTTTATTGAAGATGAAAATAGTTGAATGTAAAACAATATCAGTATAATTAGTTTAAAAAAAATGTGTATAACTCAAAGAAAGTTAAGTTTGCGAAGTCTAAGCAGTTGTAGTTAAAGCGCTACTTTTACTAATCGTAGGCTAAACGACTCAAAAATTAAATCAAACTTTTATATTGACAATTGTATAAATATTTAATATATATAATATTCCGCTGAACATAACTTACATCATCTGTTTTTGCAGAAGTGGCTCGCAGCTATCCCAGTGATCCCAGCACTCGCTTGAATGGCTATATAGTGGCCAAACTAGAGAATCTTCTGAAAACGCGCATCCTAAGATTCCGGCTGCTGGACGACAAGTCCCTCGTAGAAGGTCGCAAGCACAAGTTCGGAAAGAAAGGAGGTTTGGAGGCCCTGGTGGCAGCCGGAGTGATGATGAAGGGAATGCTTATGGCCATGGGCTTCGGGGCCATCGCTCTGATGGCCGGAAAGGCGCTGATGACAGCTCTGATGGCCTTGACACTGTCTGGGGTCTTGGGGCTCAAGAGCTTGGCCGGTGGCGGCGGAAAGTCCACCACCTACGAGATAGTGGCTAAGCCAATTTACACATCCAGCCACTCTCACTCGGTAACCCACGAGGATGGAGGTCATGGACATACTCCTCACTTTGCCGCTGGAGGCGGTGGCGGAGGTACTGCCAGTGGTTTTGGATATGGAGGCTACGCTAGGTCCCTAAAAGTGGATCAGTCAGCCAACCAAATCCAATAATTCTAAGCGAGACAAGACACTTTGTACCATCATCTCTTAATTTATTTATTTATTGTACTTTAAGAAAGCATTACATGCATTTACAATTCAGCAGTTAAAATTCATTTTGGGGTTCATTTTCACAATAAACTAGTTATAAACAAGAGAGATTACTATAGTCGTGTGTACCCAGTACTCAGCTAAATGAGTGTGAGAGAGATGGAAATATGCAAGCAGCAAAGCTTCAAGTGGCGCCATCTAGCGGAAACTGCTTTAAACTTTTTAATAAGTGCACAAAATTATTCTACATTTTGGTAGGTATTACTATTCGAAAAGGCATCCATTATTTTACAAAATCTTTAAAGATGTGGGCGTCAGACACATTCTAAGGTCGTGTAGGGTGATTGTAGGCGCAAGAATGGACATGGTTAATTTCAACTTTCTAGCTTTCCGAGATCTCAGCACTCAGACGGACAAACAGACAAAGTGACATGGCTATATGAAGAATATATATATGTATATATTTAGTTTAATATACCTGTTACATACCTGTTACATAATACAATATACAATTTTAATCTACGAGTAACGTGTATACAAATATATTTGTATTGTATACACTATATCATAAATCATATCATCATAAAACAATTTTGTTGGAAAAAATATAAAAACAAGAGAGAACGCTATAGTCGGGTTGGTTTCCCGACTATTTTATACTCAGCTAAAGGGAGTAAAAACGGTGTACTCGGATTGGTGTCCCGACTATCTTATAATCGTAACTCAGCTGAAGGGAGTGCGAGGGAGATAGATATATAAACAGTTTTGATTGCGTATAACTTTTTAATGAATGGTCGGATTTGAAAAATAAATAAATCGTTAGGTATAAATATACACAACAAAATTGCATTTATACTTCTCGGAAATCTTTAAAGATGTGGGCGCAGGACACATTTTAAAATCGTTAGTGGGTGATTGTGGGCGTTAGAGCGGGCGTGGCGCTTGGCTGAAATAAATTTGCGCTGCGTAGGAGGCCCAAGAATATGTGTGGAAAATCTTGACCTTCTAGCTTTTGTAGTTTCCGAGATCTCAGCGTTCATATGGACGACAGACGGACAGACGACTACATCGACTCGGCTAGTGATCCTGATCAAGAATATATAGACTTTATGGGGTCGGAAACGCTTCCTTCTAGCCATGCGCGGGTGATATATCACCCCCACTCGGTTGAAAAATGAAAGGAATTTTGTTATTCAAAAAGTATGCAACAAAAAATTTGTTCTGATAATTTATAAAATAGTGCTGGTATAATGTCACAAATGGCAAACCCATTAAAAAACCTTTAAAAAAAAACTGGCTTCATTTCTAAATTAGCAAGCGACAAGAACCAAAAAAGTATAATTATACACCTACACACAGATTCACAACGATTTACTTTTATGAAAGAAATTTTAGCAACATTTTAATTAGCAGATTTATAAGAAATCGAGTTTCACCAATGACACACTTTCCAATTCAAACCTGTTAGTCCATATAAAATGCGAAATTTGTCAAGAGAACTATAGTTCATTTGGCATCACCATGGCGTCGATTGCTTATGGTAGGTACAGAAATATATTGCAACGATGATGGAAACTAATAGTTATTGTTTCCGTAGCTATCATCTTTTTATTATGCATATTAAGCATAAGTTTTTGCCAGGCGGAAGTTGATCATGCAGATAGTGGTGATGCTACTTCATTATCAGCAGAAGAAATATTTGATTCAGAAGTACCTATTCCCATAAAAATAGGCTACCGCAATCAAAACATTAATAATATGGTAAGACACCCATCAGGAGTCTTAGAAAAAAAAATAGCTGCACAAATCAATGAAATAAGAGCAAAGAACCTGCTTAAGGACTCCGTGTACCAAGATTATGATGAGCAGCCCAGCCACATTGCTCTAAAAAAGTTCTGGGGAAAATGGCAACGAAGGAGAACCTCCGTCAGACCACCAACAACGACCAGAACAACAGTCAACAGAACTCCAACCACCTCCACTGCAATTCCGCCTTCAACAACAAATATTGACCCTTCTACATCGACTGCAGTGGCATCATCAACAGGAATTCCAACCACTTCCACTGCAATTCCGCCTACAACAACGACGACAACAGATGACCCAACAACATCCACTGCAATTCCGCCTACAACAACAACAACGACAACAGAAGCCCTAACCACCTCCACTGCGATTCCGCCTTCAACAACCACGACAACAGAAGCTCCAACCACTTCCACAGCAATCCCGCCTACAACAACCACGACCACAGTACCCCCAACAACTTCTACCGCAATTCCACCTTCAACAACCACGACCACAGTAGCCCCAACAACTTCTACCGCAATTCCGCCTTCAACAACCACGACAACAGAGGCCCCAACCACCACCACGACATCAGTAGCCCCAACAACTTCCACAGCAATCCCGCATACAACAACCACGACAACAGAAGCCCTAACCACCTCCACTGCGATTACGCCTTCAACAACCACGACAACAGGAGCTCCAACCACTTCCACAGCAATCCCGCCTACAACAACCACGACCACAGTAGCCCCAACAACTTCTATCGCAATTCCGCCTTCAACAACCACGACAACAGAAGCCTTAACCACCTCCACCGCAATTCCGCCTTCAACAACCACGACAACGGAAGACCCAACAACCTCCACTGCAATTCCGCCCTCGACAACCACGACAGCTTAATCTCCAACAACCTCCACTGCGATTCCGCCTTCAACCATATAATAGTTAAATGCAGGGACCGTAATCATTATAAGTGAAAAAATAAAAATCTCCATTTAATGATTATTTTGTAAGCGAAAAAAATATCGCTCAGAAATAATGATTATTATGTGAGCGATATTATTTCGCTTAAAAATATCACTCAAAGTGCGAATACAGCCGTTCTGTACGGAATTTTACAAACTTTTAAATTTCTGCTTGTAGGTAGAACCACGGAGCACACATCTAGTTAATAAAAGAAGGTGATTTCTTTGTATAAACTTTTTAAAACGCGGTTTTTAGTTGACATGAGGTATGCTTAAATACAACAAGTTGTATCAACCTTAGAACTTTATGTCATTTATTTATTAGTAAAACGACTTAACAAGATGTTATGAACTATTCCACTTAGATCCAACCCGACATGTGGGCTGGGTGTTAGTGTGTTGGTCCACCGAGCTGTAAGCACGTGTTCGATTCCCACAGAAAGTGTTTTTATACAAAAAGATTTTTTTTTGTTTTTTTAAGCGGTTTATACAAAGAAAATTTTTTTTTTTCTTAACGGAATATGTGCTCCGTGGTTCTACCTACAAGAGCACATTTAAATCTTTGTAAAATTTCACGTAGGACGGATGCAATACCACTTTGAGTGATATTTTTGAGCGAAATATATCGCTCACAAAATAATCATTATTTCTGAGCGATATATTTTTTGCTTACAAAATAATCATTAAATGGAGATTTTTATTTTTTACTCAAAAAAAATAATCATTATTTTCGGTCCCTGGTTAAATGTTTAAGTTTATTTATTGTACCTACACCCAGAAAAAAATCCGTTCGAAACGTTCAAAAATCAAGCCCAAACGGGGACAAAAAGTGAGTAAGCCCGTTTGTTGTCAGTTCATGAACGCTTGTTCATAAAATTTGACGGAAATATTGGCATGCTTTGAACGATTGGGGTCACTTTTGGTGTTGAATTAGGAAGATTTGAGAACAAACGTTCAAAATGTGAGAACAAAACAAGAGAGAACGCTATAGTCGGGACGCTATAGGGAACGACTATTAGATACCCGTTACTCAGCTAAAGGGAGTGCACAGGAGATGGAGATAAAAGCTTTGCTCCGCCGACTTTTTAACGATTTAACAAATTTCTTCTACATTTCGATAGGTATTTATAAACACAATAAAACTGCATTTTTACTTTTACCAAATTATTGAAATTTTTAAAATCGTATATAAGCGATTGTGGGCGTTAAGGGGGGCGTGGCACCTTTTTGAAACAAACTTGCGCTGCGTAGGAACTTCTAGAATCTGCATGCAAAATGTCAATCTTCTAGCTTTTATAGTTCCCGAGATGTCAGCGTTCATACAGACAGACAGACAGACAGACAGACAGACAGACAGACAGACAGACAGACAGACAGACAGACAGACAGAAGGACAGACGGACAGACGGACATGGCTATATCGACTCGGCTAGTGACCCTGATCAAGAATATTTATATTTTATAGGGTCGGAAATGCTTCCTTCTAGCTGTTACATGCTTTTGCACGAATACAATATACCCTTTTACTCTACGAGTAACGGGTATAAAAAGGAGAACGGATTGTTCGCAAATCAAGAAAAATGTTCTTGATTTTTTTCGTTCTTTTTTTTCTGGGTGTACAGTTGAGGGTTATTAAAAACAGACAAGGATGTTCATAAAATTTAATTCGTAGTTCTGAAATATTAAATACATCCCAGGGTAGAAGGCAATATGATCCACAATTACAACGATAGCTTTGTTTTTTGATTTTCCTATTTTTATACCCTTGCAGAGGGTATTATGATTTCAGTCAGAAGTTTGCAACGCAGTGAAGGAGACGTTTCCGACCCCATAAAGGATATATATTCTTGATCAGCATCACTAGACGAGTGGATCTAGCCATGTCCGTCTGTCCTTCTGTCCGTCCGTCTGTCCGTCCGTCTGTCCGTCCGTCTGTCCGTCTGTTCGTCCGTCCGTTTCTACGCAAACTAGTCTTTCAGTTTTCAAGCTATCGGGATAAAACTTTCCCAAAAGTCTTCTTTCTATTGCAGGTAGTATATAAGTCGGAACGAGCCGGATCGGACAACTATATCATATAGCTCTCATAGGAACAATCGGGAAGAGGGTTATTAAAAACAAACAAGGATGTTCATAAAATTTAATTCGTAGTTCTGAAATATTAAATACATCCCAGGGTAGAAGGCAATATGATCCACAATTACAACGATAGCTTTGTTTTTTGATTTTCCTATTTTTATACATTCTTGATCAGCATCACTAGACGAGTCGATCTAGCCATGTCCGTCTGTCCTTCTGTCCGTCCGTCTGTCCGTCTGTTCGTCCGTCCGTTTCTACGCAAACTAGTCTTTCAGTTTTCAAGCTATCGGGATAAAACTTTCCCAAAAATCTTCTTTCTATTGCAGGTAGTATATACAGCTGCGGTCAAAATAATAGTAGTGCCCACAGACGATTTCTTGAAACCCCAAAAAGTAACTTTAAAAACGTTTTAACAATTTTTTTTTTAATTTCCATTGAAACTCAACTGTTTAAAGGTAATAATAATAAACAACAACTTAGGATAACTCATACAAATTTTCAGAAAAAAATAAAAATGTGTAATTTTACAAAATTTTGTTCGGTCAAAATAATAGTAGTGAAAAGTTCCAAAAAATTTCACAGCCAAAAAAAACGTTTTAAGATTGAATATTTAAATGTATATATTAGACCTATATTTAAGGTTTATTTTAGTATTTGGTGGCATATCCTTTGTTTGCAATAACAGACGCACAGCGCTTATGCATGGAATTAACTAAATTTTGGCATCTCTCTAGAGGAATAGAGCTCCAAGATCTTTGTACAGCTTCCCAAAGTTGAAAGTTATTGCTTGGTTTTAATTCCGAGACTGCTCTTTTCACGTCACACCACAAATTCTCAATTGGATTGAGATCGGGTGACTGTGCGGGCCACTCCATGACATCGACTTCATTGGTTGCGAACCACTCTTTAGCAAGTTTGCTGGTGTGCTTCGGATCGTTGTCCTGTTGGAACGTCCAAACAAGAGGCATGTCCTCAGAGGCATATGGGAGCATCACGTCGTTCAAAATACTGACGTATAGATAACGGTCCATTATGGTTTTGACCCAATATATAGGGCCTACTCCATAGTATGAAAAACTCGCCCAAATCATAATTGATGATCCACCGTGCTTTACCGTTTTTAAGGTATACTTTGGAGTAAAAGCGCATAAGGGTGGTCGTCTAACAAACTGCCGAGAGCCACGGCCTCCAAACTTAACTATTTTTGACTCATCCGACCACAAAATATTCCTCCACTTCTCCAAGGGCCAAGTCAAGTGTTCTCTTGCAAACTTCAAGCGTTTGGCGGCATGTTTTTTTGTGAGTAACGGTACTTTTCTTGGACTTCTTGAAATGAGGTTATTATCTCTAAGCCTCCTTCTTATTGTTTCCAAACTAACATTTAAGTCACAACGTTTTTTTAGTGATGCAGCGGACGCGAATGGCTCGATCCTTGACTGTCTGGCCAAGCGATCCACTGATCTTTTGTCCAATATCTTTGGGCGCCCACGCGTTTCATTTGCTGGCTCATGTTTAATAGCATTTCTAACCATTGTAGAGGAGCAGCCTATAATATTTTGCACTTCTACATAAGTCTTTCCATCAGAAATCAATTTTTTAATTAGATCTCGCCTCTCGGCAGTACAGTGTTTGCCACGCCCCATGTAGCCAGGACTAAGTGTTGAGCAGGGATCTAAAAATGCTAGGGACTAATAAATAACATCCAAACGTATTGTTTAATAACACAAACCTTGTTTAAAAAGAAGTAAATTTAATTATTCTTGCTAATTTCTCTGGCACTACTATTATTTTGACTGACCCCAACACGTGCATCTTTGCAATAAAAGGCGAAAGGGAATACAAAGAGAGACGAGATCCTAACATAACTGCACATTTTTAAAGAGAGGATAATTACAGTTACTTTTGAGAAAGAATGAGTTGGATACGTGAAGAAATAGAGAAAATATTTAGAAAAAACTCTGTGCGCGAACGGCACTACTATTATTTTGACCGCAACTGTAAGTCGGAACGAGCCGGATCGGACAACTATATCATATAGCTCTCATAGGAACAATCGGGAAAAGAAATGTAAAAAAAATGTATCTTGGGTGTTTTTGAACCTATAACATCCTACTTTGGAAGTGTCATTTTTTATCTAATTCTGAATTTCGAATAACATTTTTTCAAAATCGGATGACTATATCATATAGTTGCCATAGGAACGATCGGAAAATTAATAGGAATATAATAGGAAATAAATTATTGCTTCGTTGGTTTTTATTGTATTCTCTTCTACTCTAGGATATAACTCTTTTCAAATATTTTCAAATTTCGATTTTAATTTTATCAAAATCGAACTACTATATCATATAGCTGCCATTGAAACGAACGCAAAATTAATTAGAAATAATAGGAAAACTAACATTTTTGCGATTTGTAAATTAATAGGAATTATCTGCAAGGGTATATAAGCTTCGGCTGGCCGAAGCTAGCTTCCTTTCTTGTTATTTCTACGATTGTTTCTATGACAACAAACGGAAAGCCCATATGTTTTTTATAGCAAAATGCCACAAAACACATAAAAATCATAGCTCGCAAATAACTGTTGACCGATTCGTGCGGTCCCCAAATAACTGTTTTTCTCTGAGACTTTGAGCAAACAATCAGAGAGCAACCGTTTGAATTGTTCGTACAGAAATTTTGCTCGCACTCAGGCGACGAGCAGTTTTTTCGGCTTTCTTTTGCTCGGCTCGCTTACAGACTGATTGCTCCTGAACGACGTTTCAAAAAGTCTTTTGCGCATGTGTTAACGTTAACGTGCTTGGGCGATATTGCTCTCCCTTTCACTCGCAAGTACTCTCAAAGGGAATACATTGTATAGTTGTATTAGTGAAAAGACTTTTTGCGATGACTTTTTCAGTC